AAATTGTGAGGAATTTTTATACCCTACACAACTATATTGTCAGGGTATTATTGCTTTGTGCAGCCCCAGGAGTTTGTAACGCCGCGAAATATTGGTCCTAGACCCACCTTTATGTATACCGATCGTCATATCTCAACTAGCTGAGTCGATCTAGACATGTGTGTCCGTCCGTCCATTATAATTTGTAAACACGATACAGGCCACAGTTATGGACAGTTATGCACCAATCAAATTTTGCATGTAGGATGGGTTCTAGCCAATGAAGACCCCTATTGTTTTTGGTAAAGATCGGTTAATATTTAGGGGATGAAATGGACCAAATACATAATTTTTGGTCGGTTTTTCTGGTCGCTCCAGAGGCCGCAATTATGTATGGCCCAAACATCTCGAATTTGTACATGGAGAAGAGGATTTGACCAAGGAATAATCATGCCAGTTTTGATAAAGATCGGTCAATATTTAGCGGTTCAAATGGACCCTGAAAACTTAATTTTTTGTGTGTTTTCGAGTCGAATATAATCCGAACATCACAACACAACCCACCGTGAAGGGAATCTGGGCAAATAATTAGAAGGGCTTTACTGAATATTCGAAAATGCAAGGAAAAGGTTCTGTTGACCTCTAATCGGGCAATAGGATGCAATATCACGAGTAAACATCGGAGTAAACTTCCGCAGAAAGTTAGAATTCCGTGGTAATTGTATAGGGTATCGTATGGTCGGCCCCGTCCGACTATACTGCTCCGCTCACTGGTTTGTAAATAAATTGGTTACGAGAATAATAGACATGTGAGGTTATTGTTTTACAATTAAATACCGAAAACATTTTTAGTATTTGTTTTTAAATCTGTTTATTTGTTTTATTTCAATAAATAAAATAAATTAATTATATTAAAAAATAAAATTAACTACATACACTACATACCTTATCTTATTTAATACAATTGTACGTACATGAAAGAATGAAGTCAAGCTTAAAGCTTGTAGAGTATATTTCCTTTCGGAAAGTACATACCAGTCATCCCGAATAGGCTAGGCAATGAAAAAAAATAAACTAATTGACAAACTATAAAGCCACAGAACAATACATCCATAAGGGATTAAAGCTATGTCCGCGTTCGGAATTCCTGCAAATTAATACGATTATGTACGATTACTTTAGGGCGGAGGAGGATGCCCTGCACTGCGATCTACATGCAGATGGACTGCGAAGCTGCAGGAACCTACCTCCAGGGGCGCTATCGCAGTTAATAGCAGCTGGTATACTGTTTGTGGATGGAGAGTTGTGGTTTTACCACAGGCGGTACGCAACGATGGATGTGGAGAATATTGTATATAGTAATATACAATAACTGGCTTTATTAGGAACTTAGTTTTCCATTACAAAATAAAGCCAGCTTGTATACATGTAAATATTTTTGTAAATAGTACTTTGTAATCTTTAGATTTAAGTTATTAGTTTTATGTATTCTCGCCCATTCTTTAACATTGGCACAAGTTTAGCTGTTAAAGTCGGAAAGAAACTTTCGAAACCCTTCAATATCGAACGAGGGTTCAACGCGTAAGATGTCCAGTAGACTCGGACCATCTAGAAAACTACAGCATTGAGGTGGTAATTGAGTTCATCTACCTCGATACATCATAAATAAAACAAATGATAACAGTTTTGAGATTCGGAGAAGGATAGTATTGGTCAACAGATAAACAATTTAGAAACAATGTCAACTCTCGCCAGATCAAACTCACACTCTACAAAACGCTGATACTAGCCGTGCTGGTGTATGTATCAGAAGCATGAGTACTTTCGCAAGCAGATGAGGAGCTCTTGGAGTGTTTGAGAGAAAAAAGTCTACGAAAGATCTACGGGCCGATATGCATCGATGGTGAACATCAGCGTCGAATGGACCACTATCAATGCCATTTATACACGGACATTGACATAGTCAAACTTAAGTCCCATTTTTCAACAATATATAGGCTTTGTAAAAATATTAGGTTGTGCAAAGTCAAAATATTACGTTCAAATTGGATAGTCCTTTCGCATGATATTACAAAATTAATATTCAGCAAAATGTTGAGCATTTTGTGTGGGATGTGTCAGAAATAGTGGGCCGATATTCCTCATCTTTGAACTGCATCATCCAAATTTTACGATGTGCAAAGTTTGGATGAAAGCGGTTACTCCCTTCGAGAGTAATCGTACCCTTACCGCGTGAAAATTTGACACAAAATATGAATTCAAAATACCAAATTGTAGGGAATTCGGTCGAAAATGCGCTCATAAACCTCAAAATTCCGAAATTTTGAGGGTATGGGTAACCCCAAAAAATCGGAACAATATTGATAATTCTTGGAGCGAAGATTTGGCCAATTCTTGTCCAAAATCCTCATGATCCCCATTTGATAATTTTTATTAGAGAGATTTCATAGCAAATGGGAATCCCAAATTCAATCGAAAAATGCGATCAAACCCACAAAATTACATACATTGGATGGTACCGTTACGAACTTGACCTGCCTGCAAGACAATTCGATTCAAAATTTTGACGATCTACTCAATTAGTTTTGAGGCTAGAGTGATTACAACAGACGAGGGTATAATAAGGGAAAAATCGCCAAATAGGCATCACAGTTCAAACTGGCAATAAATGATGACTGGTAGGCAAAGTATGCAATGTACACATACTGAGAGAGAGCGGCGAAGAGCGAGAGCACACGAGAGCGAAAATAATTGCCCTCAACAAGATCTTCAGATACAATTTTATGCCTGATTTTGGTATTTTATAGATAAAAACACTACGAATGAGTAAAGTATCTGAGAGTGAAGTATCTACAAGAGAGCGAGCGTGAGCGAGAGAATGAGCCAATGGAGGCACATTGGAACAAAATATTTGAGTGTAACGGGCAAATACAATTCATTTAGTAAACGGCTTCACGGCACGGCGTAACGCGTAACGGATGGATGGATTAACGTGAGCACACTGCTGTTTTTTTTATTAAAAAGAAAATAAATAAAAAAGAAGAAACACAGAAAAAAATAAAGAAACAACATACATGAAAGAATTTATTGGAATGAAAAGAAGTACGAAAAATCAAATGAAATGAAAAATAAATTAAATTAAAAAATATATTGAGTGAAGAATTGTTTATATTGAAAAAAAGAAAAATTAATGGAAATAAATATTTGATTTGTGAAGCAATAAAAATTTTGTGATCGAATGTGAAGCTCTAGGGGCTGCGTGTGTTATAAAAGAAAAAATTAAACAATTTTTTTTCTGTCTGTGAATGGAATGGAATGCAGCAAAAGAGATAGCGAGCGCGAACCCCGCCGCCGTTACAATTTAAAGTAAAATAAAATCTTTGTGCCAGAAAGAGAGAGACAGAGATTTTTGTTGTTTAAATTACAGCAAAACATATCTCCTCACCACACCACACCGCCGCAACCAGCAGCAGCACCAGCATTGATTAAGATCCCATTGTGCACAGACTCTCCTCATAGATACATACAATCAAAGCAGCAGCAGCAACTTGAAAACTACAAACACCAACACACTCATACACACGTGTACTCACATATATAGGCAAACTAACAAAGTTGTATGCCAGCCAGCTATCGAGCAATAGGAGAGATACAAGTCCGTTTTATAGATCGTTCATGTTGTTGTTGTAGCAAGATGAGATCGTTATTTGTTATTGTTGTACAATTCAAGTAAATGTTAAGATACAACAACAATACTTCTCGATGTAATCGTTGGAGTTTTTTGTGTAACAAGAACAACAACAATAGAAAAAAATTAAGAGGAAGCCAAGAATTTTTCGATATCGTTTTGAGAAGAGTGAAAAAAAGTTCAACTGAATAGAAAATTTTAAAAAATAATAAATTTTTGTTTTGAATACTACAAAAAAAATAAAAGCAAATTCCAAAGAAATCAAAAAGCAACAGAATTTAAAAAAATACACTAAGTGAAACAAAGTGATTAACTAAGAAAAAATATAAAAAATAAGGTCAATATTAATTGAAAAAAGAAATAGAAAAATATTTTCAAAAAAATCCATAAAAGAGAGCCTAAAAATTTTTGTGAAAAAAAATTACAATATTGGAAAAATATCCAACCAAAAAGCAAAGTAAAAAAAATATTTATGTCAAGAAATTAGTGCCCAGTGATAATGAGCTCGCTCTAGTGTTGTCCAACCTAAACCGAAGAAATATGTCATTAATCTTCATGTGGAGAAATTAATATTTATGACAAAAAATATACATATTTTTTGAAAACAAAAATAACCTCAATACGCATACAAAAGGTGTAGAAGGTGTAGAGGAAACAGAAAAAAATAACAAAAATAAACCAAACACAAAACGAAATTTGAAAAAAATCGGCGCGCACCTTTTTTCAAAACCAGCAACAACAACAAAATCCGAAAAAATAGTTTTTGTGATAACAGCAACAACAACAAAAAATCAAAAATTCAAATAACGTTTTTTCGGACGGTCCACAAAAAAAAACGAACAACACAAATAACCAAACGAAACAACGGTTTCAAACGCGTTTTCAAACACACAACAAAAAAATTTGGCCAAAAAAATAAACAACAACACCAAATGTGGAGGTTGACAAAAATGCGGTTGTGAAAATTTTCGAATTTGAAACAAGTTTAAACGATTTATTGTTGGCCAGCAGGCCCAAACCAAACAAACAAGCCGATTATCAACAACGTAACTATAATGGGGTTTTAAAGTTCCAATCCTTTGAAGAGCGAAACGAAATACCCCAAAACGAAAATTTTGCAATAATGACAACAAGTGAACATATTCGGGATTGACTAACTGGCACTTTTCGTTTATTTTGGCAAAAGATCACATATTTTGGATTAAGATCTTCAGCTTTGGCGAAGCAGCACACCATCATTATTACTATTACAACACATTTAGTTGGTGTTGTTCTCTTACAAATATTATTTCTTTTACTGTTGACAACGTGCAAAATTTTCAAAATTGAAATTATGCCAACTCTACAGCAACTAGCCAGCAGCAGCACACACCACCAGCAGCAACAACAACACCAACAGTATCAACAATACAATCACAGCCAACCGCAACCACCACATCAAACAACATCGTTGACAAATGTAGCCGCCATTGCATCAACGCAGCAGCACCATGCCAACAATTTATCCTCATCCACAACGCATATTTCTCCACATCCTTACCAGCAACCGCCTCAACATCATCACCCGCATCAGTACCAAACAACGTCACAGCACCAGCACCACCACCACCAACAGCAGCAGCAACATCATTCATCCCAGCAACATTTACATCATGGTGAATTCCCGCTGCCCGATGGTTGGGATATTGCCAAGGATTTCGATGGCAAAATCTATTATATAGATCATAATACGAAAAAGACAACGTGGCTGGATCCGAGAGACCAGTAAGTACCCTCAATATTATTTTATTAAATTTTTAGCATTTTTTAGGAGGGAGAATTTTGTGTATTAAGAAAATAAAAAAATTCAAATCTATAGAAAAAATTCAAAATGAAGTTTATAGAAGGTTTTCAATACGAAAAATTGGGAACTGAGATTCTGCGAATTTTTTCTATAGAAAAAATTATAAACTGACGTTCTGTGATTTTTTTCTATAGAAAAAATGCAAACTAAGGTTCTCCGAATTTTTTCTATAGAAAAAAATACTTCACTTAGGCTTCCGAATTTTTTCTATAGAAAAAAAAACAAACTAAGGTTCTCCGATTTTTTTTTTATAGAAAAAAAGCAAACTGAGGTTATGTGGCTTTTTTCCTGTAACAAAATTTTTTTATAAAAAAAAAATCACAAACTGAGGTTTGGTGATTTTTTTCTATAGAAAAATTTAAGACCGTAATAGAAAAACTTAGAGCCAAGGTTCAGTGAAATTATACATAAAAAACTTAGACCCAAGGGTCTGCAATTTTTTTCAAAGGAAAAAACATAGACCCAAGTTTATGAATTTTTTCTATAGAAAAAAAAACTTAGACCTTAGTGGCTGACATTTTTTTATAGAAAACAACTACGAACAGAAATTATCCGATTATTGTTTCATAAAAAACTACGACCAGAGGTCTCCGTTTTTTTCTCCATAGAAAAAACTTCAACCTAAGGGTTTCCGATTTGTTTTCTATGCGAAAAAGACTTTGAACTGAGGATATCCGAATTTTTCCCATACATTTAATTTTAAGGGGGGTCTCCGAATTTGTTTTCTATGAAAAAAAAAACTTCGACCTTATAGAAACAACTTTGGCCTGAGATTTTCCGACTTTTTTCTATGGTAATAAACTTTGAACTGAGGATCTCCGAACATTTTCCCATAAAACAAATTTTCAGAGGGTCTCCGAATTTGTTTTCTATAAACTTCGATTTGAGGATCTCCGAATTTTTCGATAAATTTAAAAAAATAGGATCTGAAGGTCTTCGAATTTGTTTTCTATAGTAAAAATGCGATCTGAAAGCCTCCGAGTTTTTTCTATAGAAAAAATTAGGAACTGAAGGATTGTTTGTTGTTTGAAAAATCTTGGCACGGAGGTTCTGCGAATTTTTATCTATAAAAAAAACTTAGACCCGCAGGTCTGTGATGTTGTTTCTATAGGAAAAAAATCGATCTGATGGTCTGCGAGTTCTTTTCTATTGCAAACAAATTGAGAACATAAGTTTTCCGATTTTTTCTATAGAAGAAAATTGAGAACTTAGGTTATGCGATTTTTTCTAAAGGAAGAAAAATTGAGAACTAATGATCTGTGATTTTTTTAATAGAAACAGGTCGTAGATTTTTCCCATAAAGATCAGTACAAGTACAAAAAAATACAACAGGTGTATTCTATAGAGAATAAATTCAAAAATTTTTCTAATAGTAAAAAATTTCTGAATTGGGTTTTTGGGATTTTTTCTATAGAAAAAAATGAGAACTTAGGTCATGCCATTTTTCTTTTTAAAAAGGAAAAATTGAAAACTAAGCTTCATCGATTTTTCTATAGAAAAAGAACATCGATTTATCTATAGAACTTAGACCCAGAGCTTAAAACAAAGAAGGAACAGAGAGAGGTTAAAACAAAGAAGGAACCGAGGTTTTGCGATTATTTTCTATAGAAAATAACTGAGAACTTAGGTTCTGCGATTTTTTTTCCTTAAGAAAACATTGTGAACTAAGGTTCTGCAATTTTTTTTCTATAGAAAAAGGTCGTCGATTTTTCCTATAAAGAATAATACAATCTACGGGTATTTGTCCGATTTTTTCTGTAAAGAAAAATAGAATCTAAGGGCATCTAAATTGTGTTCTATAGAAAAAGGTAGGACCTAATGTTCTTCGATTATTTTCTATAGAAAATCGAGGATCCATTTAACCAAGATTTTTCTAAAAAAAAGAAAAACCTTAGGAGATCCTCAGTTCCTACTTTTTTTCCTCTTCATATCCCAAGGTCCTATTTTTCTATAAAAAAATTAAAATTTTTCGAGGGTCTATTTAAAATAATTACGATGTGAAGTTTTGCGATTTTTATTGAAAAACCTAAGTCCTCGCATATTGCCAAGGATTTCGATGGCAAAATCTATTATATAGATCATAATACGAAAAAGACAACGTGGCTGGATCCGAGAGACCAGTAAGTACCCTCAATATTATTTTATTAAATTTTTAGCATTTTTTAAGAGGGAGAATTTTGTGTATTAAGAAAATAAAAAAATTCAAATCTATAGAAAAAATTCAAAATGAAGTTTATAGAAGGTTTTCAATACGAAAAATTGGGAACTGAGATTCTGCGAATTTTTTCTATAGAAAAAATTATAAACTGACGTTCTGTGATTTTTTTCTATAGAAAAAATGCAAACTAAGGTTCTCCGAATTTTTTCTATAGAAAAAAATGCAAACTAAGGTTCTCCGAATTTTTTCTATAGAAAAAAAAACAAACTAAGGTTCTCCGATTTTTTTTTCTATAGAAAAAAAGCAAACTGAGGTTATGTGGCTTTTTTCCTGTAACAAAATTTTTTTATAAAAAAAAAATCACAAACTGAGGTTTGGTGATTTTTTTCTATAGAAAAATTTAAGACCGTAATAGAAAAACTTAGAGCCAAGGTTCAGTGAAATTATACATAAAAAACTTAGACCCAAGGGTCTGCAATTTTTTTCAAAGGAAAAAACATAGACCCAAGTTTATGAATTTTTTCTATAGAAAAAAAAACTTAGACCTTAGTGGCTGACATTTTTTTATAGAAAACAACTACGAACAGAAATTATCTATAGAACTTAGACCCAGAGCTTAAAACAAAGAAGGAACAGAGAGAGGTTAAAACAAAGAAGGAACCGAGGTTTTGCGATTATTTTCTATAGAAAATAACTGAGAACTTAGGTTCTGCGATTTTTTTCCTTAAGAAAACATTGTGAACTAAGGTTCTGCAATTTTTTTTCTATAGAAAAAGGTCGTCGATTTTCCTATAAAGAATAATACAATCTACGGGTATTTGTCCGATTTTTTCTGTAAAGAAAAATAGAATCTAAGGGCATCTAAATTGTGTTCTATAGAAAAAGGTAGGACCTAATGTTCTTCGATTATTTTCTATAGAAAATCGAGGATCCATTTAACCAAGATTTTTCTAAAAAAAAGAAAAACCTTAGGAGATCCTCAGTTCCTACTTTTTTTCCTCTTCATATCCCAAGGTCCTATTTTTCTATAAAAAAATTAAAATTTTTCGAGGGTCTATTTAAAATAATTACGATGTGAAGTTTTGCGATTTTTATTGAAAAACCTAAGTCCTCGCAACTTCGTGTTTTTGTCTAAAGAAAAAATGTATAGATACCCCTGTCCATATAAAAGGCATTTTCATTTTTGTATTACAACAGCATATTTCCCAATCTGAAATAATTTTTGCAAAATAAAATTTCACCATTTTTTTTTTTTTTTTTTGTACAGAAAAAAAATATTGAAATTTCAATTCAAAAAAATAAATTGCATAACATTCAACGGGATGACCCCCTTTGGTACAAATACGGATAACAAATATTTCCCATAAAAAAAATTAAGGCCCCTCACTCACTGTTGATGGTGTGAATGTGTGTATTTTACAGTTTTTTTTGTCGAATTGTTGTTTTTAATAGAAACAGAAGGCGAAAATCCAAATTACAACCAAAATAATTGTAAACATTTTGTTTACTTTCAAAATGTTGTTGTTGTAGATTGACTTTTCATTTTAGCCAATTCTCCACCACTTCATACATACCACAAGTTTATCTGACTGACTGTCTGTCAGACCGGCCGAAAAAATATTTTGGGCTCAAATAAACCAAGCAATTGTCAGCCAAATATGCCAGCAACACATTCACATGTGGTGCGCTCTTTTTTTTTTTTTTTTTTTTTTTTGAGGCAGTCATTCACTCAGTCAGTTAGACTTCTTGTTCGGTCGATCGGCTGACTGGCTGGTATATTTGTTTGTTTGCCTCACTTAAACTTTTCGGTTTACGTTTTCATGTAATTGTAAATATCTCTGAGCAATTGTAAGATTGCGGTCGGTCGTTCGTTCAGTTCAATTTACAGAGATCGATGGTGGGGTGCTGCTATGAGATCGGGGGCAGGGTTCTGATGGCCGCCGTTGTTGTCCCCCATCGCTTGTTGTGTGTGTGTGTGCCTGTGTATGGTGTTTAGTTTTGCAAGTTGTTCGCGTTTAATTTTAGCTCTATTTTTGTCTTAATCATCACATCGGAATGTTTTCGCTTCAAAAGCTTTTTGTTGTTTTTTTATTTTTTGCTGCTTCTACTTCACTTCATTTATATTGTGTGTGTATGGCGTTTTTTGTTTATTTTTCGCTATGTTGTGTTCATTTTCAAGATTGTGTTTTTTATTATTATTTTATTTTTTCATACAAATACCAGTAGATTTCCGATGAGAGGAGCAAGAGAGTCGGAGAGGTGATAAAGGTGAAGTGAGTGATATGGAATGAAGTATCGCCAGGCGAGTACGTATACGTTAGTACGTACGTCAGTATGTATGTTTGCATGGCTTACACACATTGCCAACAACAGTAACAGCAGCAGTCAGGCGATCTCAAATGATCGTCGTTGCCGTCATTGTCATATTTGTGAAACTAGTCAAAAGAGCGAGAGATACTTCAAGTTTTTTGTTGTTGTATTTTTTTCGCCAGCCATTCCATTCCTATCCAGCCATGCATTGCACATGCATACAACTTTTGTATGAATGCATGCAGATCTAAGTATCTATGAGTTGGCGAGAGTGTGTATGTATGTTGGCTTTGAACATATTTCTGTGCTCAAAAAAAAAAAAACGAACACACAAATAAATTGTTGTTGTGTTTAAGTGTTGGTGAGCATTTTTGCCGTCTCTGCAAATAGTTAAAAAAAATGTTAACAGATAGACAAATTCCGCAATACACCAAAAATGTGTAGAGTGTTTTG